TGTATTATAAAGATCTCCATAAAACTTGTAATAGTTCACAAAAATCTTCATAACTAATACTTAAAGTCAAACGTAAAACCAGAATTATTTCACATGGTTTGTTATTTATTCCAACATAATTTTTAATTGTATAATGTGTAGTTTCTAAAACAGAGTTAAAGAAATGTGTTTCCATTCCTATTTTGTGGCCATGTCCGAGTAAGAGGCATTTTGCGGTCCATTCTTAGTTCTGATAACATTCATTTTTAGTATCTTGTGCTGAGCGCATAATTGATGCAATAACTGTCAGAAGTATAGAATTTTTTTACTTATACAAGTAGAACTTATAATAAGAAGTCATTTTGTGGAAGTAATTTTATTAGAAACAAATTAAGAGCACTACTAAAGGACTTAACTAAATTATTCCATTAACTCTTCAGATGGTAATAACGTGTAATTATAGTAATTAACAGTACTTAGTACATTTCCTGATTATAATTATGACAAGAAATACATCATTTAAGTACGTGATTACATGAAGAAGACAAGCAGAACGTTTGCAAATTGTACCACCTAGTCTAATAGGTAGAGGTCTTTTAATATCTCTTGAGCCGCGAAATGCGCGAAAGGCGTGGCATATCCCCATAATTCTTCTAATAAGCACGTTGTGAAAACATTAACTCAGATGTGCATAATTACAAGTAGACATGAACTAAGGCGCTCGGGCATCAATAAAGTCAAATGGCGAACGTTCGTTATATATATTTTTATAGTTTAAATTAAAATAATAAAGAATAGGGCATTTTATTATGATATTTGTAATCGGATCAAAGGCTTGTTTACGCTAGAGCTCGAGAGAGAGACTGTGAATAATAGGTGTAATGTTTTTAGGACGTAGAATAATTTAGGCGACGGTTGGAATTATGTTTCTGCGCATATGAAGGTCAAAGCTCATAAGATTTTAAAACATCTCTACGTATACATGATGATCGGCCACAAAGTCATCCCTAATGTTTTACATTTTTATTTTCGAAAACGATACAAGGATAAAAGTTGTAGAAACCTTTTAAATTTCTCTAAAACTCAACTTGGGAATTGGAAAAAATTGAGCACCTTGTTACATGCAACACTAGGTGTATATTTATATATTTGAATAAAACATATCAAGTGTCAAATGTAACACAAATTGGTTGGGGATTTTTTTCTTTTAAAGTCTGACTACGTCAGTGAAATTCGTGAAAAACTATTGCTCATAGTAAAATTAATATTAAAGATTTTATCATTTCCTAAGCGGGCTAAGCAACCTATAAACCTACCTACCAACCTATATAAACAAATTTAATAAACAAATAAATTTATCATTAATGTTTTTATTAAATGTGCAGTTGCAAATTAAAAAATTTAATTTAAGATTATGACCCAATTTATAATTATAATAATATAATAATAATAATAATAATAATAATAATAATAATAATAATAATAATAATAATAATAATAATAATAATAATAATAATAATAATAATAATAATAATAATAATAATAATAATAATAATAATAATAATAATAATAATAATAATAATAATAATAATAATAATAATAATAATAATAATAATAATAATAATAATAATAATAATAATAATAATAATAATAATAATAATAATAATAATAATAATAATAATAATAATAATAATAATAATAATAATAATAATAATAATAATAATAATAATAATAATAATAATAATAATAATAATAATAATAATAATAATAATAATAATAATAATAATAATAATAATAATAATAATAATAATAATAATAATAATAATAATAATAATAATAATAATAATAATAATAATAATAATAATAATAATAATAATAATAATAATAATAATAATAATAATAATAATAATAATAATAATAATAATAATAATAATAATAATAATAATAATAATAATAATAATAATAATAATAATAATAATAATAATAATAATAATAATAATAATAATAATAATAATAATAATAATAATAATAATAATAATAATAATAATAATAATAATAATAATAATAATAATAATAATAATAATAATAATAATAATAATAATAATAATAATAATAATAATAATAATAATAATAATAATAATAATAATAATAATAATAATAATAATAATAATAATAATAATAATAATAATAATAATAATAATAATAATAATAATAATAATAATAATAATAATAATAATAATAATAATAATAATAATAATAATAATAATAATAATAATAATAATAATAATAATAATAATAATAATAATGAAAATCATTGCTATGTCATTATGGCTATTATGACTGTGTGTGCTTATATCATTATTTGTACACTTGTGTACATTTGTGTTGTAAATTTTTTTGTTAATCATAATTATAATTAGTTTATCAATTAAAATAAAAATATATTGTTTAATTTTGACCTGCACATTGAAGAAGAACATATATTACCGAACACTATGTTTATTTAATTTACTAGTTATGATTCGCATTAAGTCATCAGTCCTTTTTTATTTTTCACTTAATCTATACAATGTATAAAATTTGTTAATATTTATAACGGTATAACTGAATTTTCTCAGCTTCAAATTTTGGGCAGATACGACCTCTCGAATGAATGGAGCAGCATTGTGGTTATAAGAAAATCTGTCCAAATATAATTAAAATATTATATCATTAATATTACCAATACATACTATGTCCGATTCATTCATTTGCCTTCCTAAATTAGAAAAACTAATAAGTTTCCTATAACTTCTCCTTCATATATTTTCCTAAGCCAATTAATTATTCAACCATTGACAGCTGCCACCAAGCCAAAAGTGGACCGTCGCGCGTCGTATGCAAATGTCCCATTTCCAATAAAAATACAAGAAAATACGAATTTTGGTATTGAAAATTGCAAAAATTGCATCAGTTATTCGTGTTTTTTGAAAACTAACAAGAGTAAGAAACGTTTTAGAATTTAATTCCCCATAAAATAATGTAATAATCTTTTAAGTCCGCCATGGGTTAAAAAAACTATAACATTTTAATGATGCATCATCCCTTTCAAATGTTTCAATTGTACTATAATTATTATTCATGCTCTTGGCATACTCACACCGTGTACCAAATTTGGTTTTTCTAAGTTCAATTAAAACTGAGATATTGATTTTTTTCGGAATTTGAAACCACACTTTTAAGGCCTATAAATTCTCACGGGGTGCAGTTCAGTATAAAGGTAAGTTGGATTAAATCACTATATTTTTAGTTCCCCTGCTCTGTGGCGGTTCTTATGTGAAACACCCTGTATATCCTAATATTAAATTAAATTATTAAACACACTATTAACTTTATTTTTTATTCTAGATGCATATACCACATGATTTAATATCAAATCATCGACACTAAAAATGAATACTTCCGAATTAAAGAAAAAAATTATTTATGAAATAGGTTTTGATGTATCCAAGATGTAGCAGCAGCTGCATAACAATTAATAAAACATTATTTTTTTTAGAAAGGATATAATAAATATATTTCATTTCTAAATAGCACAGCAAAAGTCTTCTTATATCCTATAATAGAATATAATGTGAAAGTTCTATAAAAATGTTGTCGTGGAAATCGAAGGTTTACTGTATAAATTAATTCTGTTGTCAAATTTTTCTAATAAATCATACATTTTAGATCTATGTCTATGTCTATGTCTTGTCGCCTAATGCTAATTTTAAATGTAGCCGGCTAATTAGCTATAGCGATTTCTCCGTGGACTCTCCAATTATCATTTACATCTAACTGTAAAGGTGTGTGTGATACATATAAGTGAACCTCAAAAAGTATTGACATGCATATCTCATAATAAGTGTTCAATTTAAAAACGTATCATAAAATTTTCCAACTATCGTTTTGCCAGTTTTTAACTAATAATTTGACAAAAAAATTGATCAAATTATATTGGTACATATACTGTAAAACAATAAAATTATTCTTGGTTTCAATTACTCCACATAAATCAATAGTTGTCAATGGATAAATAACTTTTGGACTGGTTTAAACTTCGTTAGAGTTTTTTCATGAAGAATAACATAGCTCTTGAAATGTCAGACAGCCTAAACCGATAATCAACAACCAACCGATATTTGAATAAAACATTTCAAGTGTCAAATGTAACAAAAATTGGTTGAGGATTTTTTTCTTTTAAAGTCTGACTACGTCACGGAAATTTGTGAAAAATTGTTGGTCATTGTAAAATTGTTTAGTCCTCAATATAGAATCTGTTATATCTCAACCATAAATTAGTAATTATCTTAACAGATAAAAATCTATCCAAATATTATTAATGAATAAACACTTTCCTGAAATATTTAAATAATATAAATATTCCAATGCCTTTTCTTGTTTCTAACAACACCTCTTTGACAATAACGTCACGTTTAGAGTTTTACCTTATATGCCAACACATTTTTTTGCAGTTTTAGTCATCATGAAGCATGAACCTTCCCAATTATTTGCTACAGGAATATTTTAGATCATCTATTGTCCACGCGTCATGATTTTTTTGACCAAAGCTATAAAAAATGTGTTGTCATAAAGTAAAAGTCTATGCAAAATTTCAGCTTTATATATTAAGAAATAACAAAGTTATTAATATATTTGTTTACTCTTATTTATTTGGGTATTTCTGAAAAAAAAGAAAAAAATTTCTTTTCAAAATACCCAATTAAATAAACAAAACAAATTAAAGTGGCACAAATAAATAAATTAGACGATATATAAAATTATTTTTTTAATTATAATTTTGACATCATCTGCCTTAAAAAGGAAGCGCCAAAATAAAAGGTAACGTAATGAATATTGTACTATTTTCATCCAAAGAATCTGTGGTCGACGTTATATCCAACTTTTTTGTAGTAATGTGTGTAATAACTGTAATAATGTGTGTAGTAACTTTGTACAAATATTCTTCAGGCTGTTACTAAATGTATTTTTTTTGTTTCCAGGAAACTTAGACATCGTAAATGGCAACCTGAAATTAATTCTGGGCCTCATCTGGTCTTTGATCGTACGTTATCAGATCGGCCGTTCCAAATTCCCTCCCAGAAAACTTATGCTGGCTTGGCTTCAAGCCGTCCTCCCAGAGTGTAAAGTGCACAACTTCACAACCGACTGGAACTCTGGCGTATTGCTTTCTGCACTGATCGATTATTGCCAGCCGGGATTGTTTCCACACTGGCGAAAATTAGGTAAGAACTAATTATTGTTTATATTCTTCTATATGTTCCAAAATTCACGCAAGAAGTTATTTTGGTAGAAAACAGAGGTTTATAAGTAAAAATTGTACATTTTTTACTGATTCATAAAGTGTACATTATAGAGGCATGTATGGAATTGCATATCGGGTAAATGGCCTCCACGGCTTTGCTGGCATATACGCACCTCTTTTTCGAAATTTCCCGTGACCGTTTGGCATAAGTGTGGCTCGACATTATTGATACACCGCTCTATTTCCTCCTTCATGGCGTGGGGGATCGTGAGTAGGTTATTATAGCCGGTGCTGAGACTCCCC